TGATGTTGTTGGAATTTCATTCTAAATTTAGTCTATTTTTTGATGGTGTTGAAGTAAATATTAAAAGGGGATGATGGAGGGTATCTCCATGTCAACAACCTGAGATTCTAAAATGTCAAACGATCGACGACATCTTTCCCACGAGAGTCGTTGAATTCTAAAGCAGAAGGTATGATTTTACCTCTTGACATTCCCTAAAGGGAATCAGTGAGATGGGATGGAAATATCGATACTTTCATTAATAAAATTCACTCTCACTATCGACAGAGAGAAGAGCAAGGGAAGAAAAGGGAAGAAAGTGTAGATGGTAGTAGAGAAAAAGAGAGAGGATCTTGTTGATCTATAAATAATAAATTAAGACCCCCAGACATTCAAGCACGATATCTCAATTTCCAGTACCACAGGAAGCTCTGCCCGAAGGCAAAGTAAAGGAACAAAGCATACAGGTATTGGATAAAGTTTAGCTGAGTTTGTGATAGAAACTAAGGAAGGAAGTTTTAAATACACGCCAAAAGTAGCTGGAAAATTTTCTTCCCTGACAGACTTTGCAAATATGAATTTATAATTTATATTTCTGTTTTATTTTATAATTTATTATGATAATAAACAGCAATTTATTTATTCCATCAATAGCTTCTTTCTTGTTGAATAAATTATTTCAATTTCTCTCTCTCTCTTATTTGGAAAATTGCTTGATTAAAAGAATAATAATAATAAATTGTAAGATTAGTTCAGGAGGGCTTGAGCTTCGAATAATTATCAAGACATCAAGGTTGAATTTCCAACTCTGAATAGAATGTAATTATCCAGAATTACAAATAATAATGATCATTGAACTATTAATGAAGGTAATAACACGATATAATATTGGTATTTTCTATTGCAGTACTATTACTAATGAGTCTATATGCTATCGAAAAGCTGGGTTCATTTAGTTTGTAACAATATATTACTGAGTGTTCTTTGATCTAAAGTATTTTCCCCAATGTGCAAAATTCCTCTTTGATTGAACAACATACCAATGTAATTAATCATATTTAATGAATATTATTAATCAATAGTAATTGAGATCGTGTCTGATGTAATAATTATGTAATATGAATCCATTTTTATTCATTAATAATTTAAAAATTATGCTAGACCATCTTAAGAACAGCTGATCCAAGTAGCAGTTACTAATAATGGCTTGGTTAGTTTAAGCTAAGACAGACCTGATTAGATTTACCCAATCAAAATTCTGCTGGGAACAGAATCAGTTACTCGAGATAGATTACATCATCATGATGTTACCAACAATTCAAATATGCATAAGACTGTTTATGCAGCAGAGAAGAAAAATGAAAATTAATTGATGAATATGATAACTCCGAGATATTTATTTTTATTTAGGTTGAAGGGTCAAGTAATTTTGAATAAAATATTTAAAAATTTTCAACAAATCCTAAAATATTTATGTGACTAAAGAAACCCCATAAAATCCTAGCTTCAACGTCCAAGTTGTTACCAGGGTTGACCTAGGATCAAAATGATTTTGCATAGCTGAGTTTCAAACGGGTTTTCCAACTTGCTAGCAACTGAGAAAAGTGTGACATTCCTGGTCGAGTTAAGGTCAAACTTCCAACGTAGAATCCAACTGAAATAGAAGCTGATTAAAAATGGTCAGGATGTTGAAGTGATACAAAATGAACATCTACCTAGCATCATTGAAATAATGGCATGGATTATTTTTAATCAAATGAATGACTTGATAAAATATCCAATTAATTATACCATTAATTATTGATGTTATATAATGAGGAACAATTTAATAATACTTTGGAATGAATCAATTAGACAATAAATAATTAAATAAATGGAATCCACAAATATTATAATGACAATAAATAAAAACAAATAATGAATGAGCTTAATAATGAATATTGCTGATTAATATAAAATACAATCATATATTACAAATAGTGTGATTAAATTATGGAATGTTTTGTTTCATGAATGACGATAAAAAGTATATTGGTAACGTCTACAATTACTAGTCTGATTAGAATGATTGATTGACAATAACAAGTTCAATGGTAAATATTCAAACCTGGTGAAAGCATAAACAAAGTTCAGTGGGTGTATCTTTACTTGTATACATGTGTTGCTAATGTCAATTACAACAGGTATGCAACGTTGAATTCTACCACATTGCAAAATGTAATTATCTTCGTTCGTTAATCATGTGGAGGTGTAACCATACACAAACGATAACAACCTAGTTAGCCTTATATTACTTGAACACGTGATTACATCGTATCATTGAGATACTAATTAAATCTGTACGAGTTTACGTTGTACGATAAATATTTCTATTGTTATCGTTTTTATCTCCAAGTCCAGGTGTAGTTATTTACAAAGAATTAGATTTTTTCCAGCTTGATTATCATCAATGCACGCACTTAAATGATTGTTAGGTGAAACAATAGTTGTACTTGGTAATTCAAACTGAAGTAATAAAATTCTTTTTGTTGTATAATCATGTAGATGGTTTTATCTTTAACTATAAAAGACAATGACAATAATTTATTAAGTTTGTTAAAAAATTCCATCAGAATTAAAAAAAAATTCTCCAATAAAATTGGAGACAAAGATTGAAGTAGTAGAGAAGCAGCAAATTTAATCAATGTATCAAATGGAGGAATCTTCATATCAATTACATCTAATCAAATTAACTTTCTCTCTCTCTCTCTCTCTTATGACATAATTAAAATATTTCCACAAATTAATTGTTGCTAGGCACCATGAAAAGCTGTTAATTTAAACATGTATATAGCTGATTGAATGCCATAATAAACATATAAATTGACTCATCTATTGTTCAACTAATATCACATATAATCAAATGCTTGGATGTGAAACTAGTATTTTGATATTATTGAATTAATTTCCATCAATTTTATTATGACTTTATGTTAAAAGTAAATTAGAAGATATTCATAACTATAATTATATTAATAATAAATTAAATAAGATGTATTCGAACTTCAGACACTTTGAAATATCCTAGAAATCTAGGAATATTTATAAATTATTGTTTTTATTCACTAATTCAGAATAAAATTTAGGTCAGTATAGTACATTTAACGTGAACCTCTCAGCTTCTAAATATTAAATTACAGTCAAACTGATAATTAATGGAAATGATTAATAATATAAATTAAATGGATAATATTAGCAGTAAGTTGGTGAAAGATTGTTCATCACTTATATTACTTGAAAAAGTCAATACCATGATAACTAGAGGAACTTATTAATAACGAGCATTAACCAATATTTAATCAGTAATATTTTGGAGATAAATTAGATAAAAGAATCTCATAATTTGAGTAATAATGAATTGTAATTCTAGAGGTTTATGAAGATCCAGGTATCAGAGAAGCTAAAAAGCAAGAGGTCAAAGTGTTTTAGGTTTCACAACAACAGCAAAACTGATACCATTTATAAAATAACTAGAAAGATTGTTCTGGAGAATTTCCAAGCACTTTTCCCTGCTACTCTTCAGCCCTCTATTGCAGATAGTGTAGGCAGCCTTGATAAAATGGATAGAAAGGTTACTTTAGCATGGAAACCAATTTCACCTTCACATTTCCAACCTCCCTACTCTTCACTTGATACCCCTTTCCCTTTTTATCCTCCCTTTAGTTCTTTTATTTTTAAATAAAACCAAAATAACCAATTTTTTCTCTCGAAAAATTAAGAAAAGTATTTCATCGATGGAGGATGTTTAAAAATCATAAAAAATTCTAGTATAAAGAGCGTTGAAATATGTTTCTAACGAATCGCTTTCCGATAAATTGTGAAAGGTGAGAAGAGGTAGTTTATATGCAGAAAAAAGCTATATATGTTGATATATCAGTTGACTTGATCGTCTTGTTCACCTATTGGTAGATGGTCTATGTGATATCTCTTGAGTTCAAGTAGATGGTTCGACTTATACACCACGAACTAGTTCTTGAATTTTGTACATGAGAAAGAGGTTGTCTATGGGTTGGAAAATATCACTATGTAAACGCACACGAGATCTAGAGGAACGACAAAAGTTAAACGAAAAGCTTGCAAGGACTTTTTAAGGAGACGAGTTGAGATACAAGAAGAAGATACAGCACGTCGTTGATTGCTTTTCTTCAACCCTCTCTTACTTCTCATGTCTTCTCTCAAGCTTTCATTCGCTTGACTCACGTTTTTGCTTTTGTTTCTCAGTAAATTAAGAGAAGAATTAAGAGCCCTACCAATAAAACCTCAATAAAAATCGATTATTTACAGTTAACTATATTTTGCTTTAATGGGTTAGGTAGTTAGCTTTTATTTTATTTGTTATTACTCTAGAAATGTTTGGAAATTTTTGTCATTCTCCAAGTATGGAGAATTTTCTTTCATTTATTTCGCTCTACATTCTTTAATTTTCATTACAGATTAATTAATTCAATAATTAAAAGAACTTTTTTTAAATTTTGAATAATAAATTTCATTTTGAATTATAAATTGATAAAAAGATGTTTTTTTGTTCTTCAGCTTTAAGATTGAAGAAATAATAGATAGTTTCACTGTTATGTTATGTAATAAATGACTCAATACCAACTAATCTTGGTGCTACAATAAAAATTGTAGCTTCAACAACCCAGAAGACCAGGATATAGATAGAATATTTTTCATACTTATTTAAAACTATCTTCTTCAAAGTTAATTATCTGTAAATGTAATGCTAAAAATGTATATTCTTTTTCAAAACAATTTTTTAAAATTACCAGAATATATTTCATAATTTTTATAGCAAGAATAATTCTCTCTAGTGTCGCAAACTCACCACTAGTTTTAATCATCCAAACTAAGCACTTAGTATCTTCCTTAATGAATAAAAACAGCTGTACTTACTTCTATTGAAAGCCACATAAAGCATGAATATTTTAAACATTACATCAGAAGTGTAGAAAAATGCAGGATGAAACTTTTGCTTTACTCACCAGGATCAGTAGATGGATGAGCTCGTGTAAGTCTGCACAGTTGTAAGGGTAGATAACGTGTGTCCGCTCTTGGGGGTGACTTGGGTGGGGGTGGAGTTATACTTAAAAAACCTCGTTGGAGTTCCCAACCAACTTCTTGAATGATGGAAGCCTTCCTGAAGTATGGTGTAACTTCACGTAGATATTTAACTGCAAAAAAGAAATTTCTTTTTTTTTTATTCTGCAAAATTTTTATAATTAACATAATCTGAACGAATTTTCGCAATAATTATTCAATTTCAATGAATATCCAGTTAATTTGATACTAATTTATTCAAAGTTCAGGTTTCATTGAAATAAAACATGATTATTTACGTAATAAAAATATATTTTAATCTTGCAAAACATATTATGGGAAATAAAATATCAATTAGCGAAGAGAATAATCGTTAAGCTGAATGCACTATGTAAATACGATATTAAAATCCTAAATACCTTCTCTATATGTAATCCATTTGAATAATTATCGCTTCCTCATTGCAAAATTTGCTTAATCCTCTCTCGGTTTACATCAATTAACAAGAAAAAAAGACTTATCATTCTATAGAGGGCAAATTAGAAGCTCAGCAGTATGAATGTTTGATCAACTATTTAATTGGAACATTTTCTGTATAAAGGAATCAGGAATGAGTGGTGAGAGTTTTACGAGTGGTGAAACTATTTCTCAAAAGTGTTCAATCAAGGCAAGAAATGGTGGTTGAGGTTGAAATTGGTCTTACTAGTGAATTTATGACTATTTAAAAATAAATTGGTGCATAATGTGTTGTTCTAATACCATAAACTGTTGTAGGTAAAATGGGAACACTTTCTGAACGTTAGTTGAGAGCTATAACAAGTGAATTTAAAGCTTAAAGTAGCGGTAGTATACACCATTTACCAAAAGCTTCGTACACTTGGAGTCCAAAAGCTCTCTCACTCTCTCATTGTGCTTTTCCGGATGGGGTTGTAGAGCAAGTATTGCTTACTTGCCGGAAATTTGGACAAAGAAATGTCCTCTAGGTAGAAAGCGAGGACACATAGTAGCTTCTAAGAGATAAGCTGATAAGCTTTTATGACTAGGATTATTTATTACTCAAAATTCCAACGCTTTATGAAGAGATACACTTGGTATGTATGACTATTAAATTCCAACGCTACTGAGTATAATCAAGCCTCGCGATATGAGAGTAAAATGTTGTCTGTTGTACTCTAATACCAAACTGTGAATATCCTACATTATGTAAATTACAGAAATGAGCTGAAATATTTATTAACATCAAGTAAAATTTTCATAAATAATTTTTGTCTAAAATAATATTGTACTGATTAGTGATATTTTACAGTAAAATCTTTTTAAATTCATTTATTAACTCACATGAAATTATTTTAGAAAAATAAATCTTCATTAATGTGATGGCTTTTGACGTTGACTTTAATTGAAATTGTAATTAAGAATACTAGTGTTAAAAAATATAAAAGCATTCCAGACAAAATATCATCATCACTAGTAAAATTGAAAATCTTTTTACTTGAAAAATATTTTTACTTTAAATTCTTTCACAAAATAATTTCATTAATTAAATAGTTTATCAAATATTCAAGAAACTCATAAAATAAATTTATTTGCTTTTATTAAATATACCATGTAATATTAATTCAAAATTATTATTATAAACAATCTATTTCTTATGGCAGTTGACATCTTTGTAATAAATTCTATTAAACCTAAATTATCTAATTTAATAATTAATTAGAAATACACTGCACATTCTTCGAGCGCACAGTTTCAAGTCGACAACGTAAAAAATTTTTTAATTTTAATTTTTATTCATTTCGAAAATTTAAAAATAAAATTGACCAATCAACGCACGAATAAAATATTTACGCTTTTCTGATTGGTCGATTTAATTGTGTATCCTTTAATTATTGTTTTTTGGTATTTGTTACGGTAATTTAAAAATATTTTTCGTTATTATCATTATTAAATTGTAATCTTTATGATTTTATAAAAAAAAAATATTATAAATATTTAATTATATTCACACAAACGATTTTTGTAATTGTATCTCTTTGCCTGACAGTGAGTTTCAATAGATAGGATTAAATAAACTCAAGACTAAGATCTTAATGGTTCATTTATTTCTAGCAGGTTGACTATGACTGATCCAATGTCAAACCAAAAATGATCAATAATAGTCTTCTGCTAGGGATATCATTTTTGGAACTATCAAAAATCATTTCAACATATTTAAATTCATTAAAATATTATTTTAACTTTAATACCTTTAATAACCTGATTATTAACTTTTATCCACAATAAAATTGACTTGAATTAATTTTTCCCCATTCACCATGGACCTTTCAATTAAAAAAACATCGATTTTCGAATTACCATTCCTGCAGCATGTTTTTTTTTTTACAACAAAAACATATCCAGGTATTCATGAGTACTGGGGAAAATATTGTATCAATTACATTGTAATCTCTTTTAGTGAAGTATTAATATACGATTCAACATGAATTGAGAATAATTGATGTGATTGGTTTACTTTGATATATGTATACACCATACCAATAGATATATGTATACATGTATATTTTTCAATGATTAATATTTTATGTAATACACTACGTTGTTGAATAATGTGAATATAGGGGCTCAGAGTATTTATCTTCTGATGTGCTCCAATATATTGAATTGACCACTACTCCGTGGAATGTTGGAATTGGCTATAAATTCCCACATCATTCGAGTACTCTTATCCAACTAATTCAACCAAATGAGTCAATATTCTCCAATATCTGCCACTTGGTAATCTATTCTTGTTTATTTTATTTCTTGCTCATTTCCAATATTATTTTATTGTTATTACCAATTTCATAATAAATTTGGAAAGATTCTTTCCAAGATAACATTGATTATCTATTCCAATAATAATAATAACAATAAATAGGTTCATTTGTTTATTTTCTTTTCATTCAGCACTGGGAGCATTGAACTGGTTAATATGAATGAAACCAATTGGGAAAGAGTTTGTTTTATTAATCAATAAATCAAATCAAAATCAAAAAAAAAAACATGTTTTAATATTTATTTTCCAAGTCTGTTTGTAATAAAAATGATATGATCTCAGGTACCAATAGCTGGTACAGTTGAACCAGGTCTTGGAATGTTGGAATTTTTATTAGATTAATATAAATTCTAGCATGATAAGGGTTGAAGTAGCAGCGTTGGAATGTATAGCAATCAGTTTAACATAGAACATTCACGACAAATAGTTGTGACTAAAATAGGTGGACATATAGCTTTGTCTATAGCATCACCAATCTATACCTTTTTATACCAGATTACCTAGGGATGGATACTGGATATGTGGTGTTGCTAGACTACATGTAATTGTCTACATTTCAATAAGGTCTGAGTTCCTGGTTATGGATTAAATTATTCTCAAATAATTTAATCGTGAATTTTTTGCTTTGCAGTTCCTTGGTAGAAACAAAAAAGATTGATCCATTTTTAGCTTGGTATTAGATTAAGCTCAATTAAGAATGAACCAACTTTCATTTTTACCAGTGATATTTATTCAGTCAACGTTCCAAGTATGGATATACAACAAGGCTGTCATTGAGACTGATATGAAGTCATCATGCACTCAATCATGACTGGATGATAATGATATTTACTTGGTAGATCCTACTAGGGATATTTGGCAATGAACATCAGGTTGAATTATTGTGATTTATTAATTATTTAGAATTACTTTCACGTTTCAGAATGACTTGAGATTGACATTTAACTTTTTTTTTAAATCTAAGAAATAATGAAACAAGTCTACAATCTTTTTCCTTTCTTCAAATCAACTCTTGTGATCTTTAACACTTCTTCCAAGTTAAATTTAAATTTTAAACCGATCTGATATCTAAAAAATAGCAAAGTTTATAATAATTTGATTTCTCAGTTGGAACCTTATTTCTCCGTCCATTACCACATTTCCTCAATTCAAAATGCTACTCGGAAATAAGGTGCAATAAATTTGTGGTTGATGTGGGGGTAGGAGGTAGATACACACATTGCAAATGAAAATTGAATTGACACATAAAAATATACGTAGGGAAGACGTGAGTATACTACAGCAAATTTCGATAATTTTGCGATCGAAACGAACGTCGTTCGCAATCGTCCCACACCGGCAATTTGTCGATTCGATCGGCGCTAGCGATAACGAAATTTCCGATGCCGAATAATCCAAGCGAGCACGCGAAATGAATTCGATGTGCAACGGAATATTTCAACATCCTCTTCCTCTCCTCCCTAGCACCCTACCTCCCCCTCATACCCTTTCTTTGTCTCTGTTTCTCTTTATATATGTTCCGACACTGATAGATGTATGTAAAATTGATATACAGACACACATTTCGGCAGAAAAGTAGTGGTGAGTGGTGCGTTGCATGATATAGTCGACTGGTAATATGGTTTAACATAGACGGCTAGATAATTCGTTGATTTGAGCTTGATAACAATTCTATTGGAAAATTGCCAGATATTTGTGAATATGTGTGGAGACTTTCTCATGACGTGATGAACCTGTGACTCATTTAGATAAAATGAACATTGAATTGTATTATATACATTTTATTAAGTTATTCGTTAATTAAATGCAACTCAGCAATAATACCACCGCAGAAAATGATTATCGATTATTCACATAAATACAATGGTATTTTATCATTATACATTAATCTTGTATCCGGCAACAACATTTTTATCCCGAAATTTTGTTTATTTTTCCAACTCATACCTTTATAGAGACAATGTGACCATTAAAACCGCCATTTTATGTTAATCTGTAGTAATTAAAATTGTATGATTTTTAAATCTACTTCTGTTATTGTTAATAGTCTTGATTATATTAAGCCTTAATTATCCCTGATCATTATCTAGCTTATTTATAATGCTATTAAAATATTATAATGCTATTAAAATAATCGTTATTAACATGAATGTTTCCGATTTATAATAAACTGGACCGATGGAGAAAAATGATTACTATGCTAATAGAAGAAATTTGGGATTGTTAAGGCTTCTAGACTGTTAAAAAATACTTTATATCATGGATTATATAATTTGCCTTATAAATAATTTATAACCTCCATTAGGTGGCGCTGCGAAC